TCCAATTACTCAGATTATAATAGTGTTTTTTAAATTAACTTTGGCAAACTTTTGAATTTTAAGTATTAAATTTTTAATAAACTTGCAATTAAAGAGCTTGGTGTTACCAACGATAACATTATTCAAAGTATTTAATTCTTTTCTCTCATTTTAATTGCGCGGTCATATTTCATCTGTCCTGCTGATAGTATTGTTCGAAATTTTCTTGGATTCTCTTTTCTCTCAGTTATTCGATCATATTAAATTCCGGTCATTCCAGTCCTTCCGATAACCTGCATGGCATTCAACGCGTTAACAATAGCAAACCTACCCACGAAACCTTAAAAATTCTCAAAATTAAATACCAGTGGTATTCCTCCAGAATTGGTTAAATATTAGGTCATTCCATAAACAATGTCATTTTTCAAAACGCGTGTGAAACAGTATTTACTATTATATTCAATTATTTATTTCTTCAAACATATCTTTTAACAAATTTTCCTTCACTGTTATCTACAGAAAAATTAATTTCTCAAAATTATTTTTTTATTTCAAAAATTATTTTCAAATTTATATCTTTTTCCATTTAAGTAATTGTATAGGGACTGAAATAAATAATACCTACAGGATAAGATATACATAAGTATACAAATAGATATAAACATGAATTTGTTTTTAATAATTATGTCAAATTGTATTCTAATATCACTTGCTTTTTATAAAATTGTTGTATTGGTACAAACATATCACTTGTCTTTCATTTCAAAATTCAAAATAAATAATACTTTATGTTATTATAAAACTTAAAGTGAATAGTAATTAATCTATTCGTTTACAACATAACATTATCTATGGAATGACGTAATACACTGGCCGACAGATAAAGTGCTGTCACTTAGAATCCCGTTAGGGACGCTAACGAGCATAACTTATGCAATTATTTCTAAGTTTCTCAGTTTTTAAACTTCAGAATTTATGATATGTAAAATTAGTACATTGATAACACTTGCAAACTTCTAATTGTAAGTTAAAAAATTTGAAGATCAAACTTTGAAGGTTTACAAATTAAAAGGTCTGAATGTTTGTTAATTTGTAAATCTTAAATCTTGAAAATTTACAAAATTTTTAGTTTCTAAACCTGATGACTGAAAATTAATTTATATACTTTTCAATTTGATAATTTCTAAGTTTCTTCATTATAAAAATTCTAATATCTAAATTTGATAAGTTGTAAATTTTTCAATTTCATTGTATAAGTTTTTAGTTCGAAAATATGAAAGTTTATAAATTTCTGATTTCGTAACATATCTACATACTTGAAAACTTAAAAATTGCTAAATTAGCTAAAATTCAAATTTAAAAATCTCTCGACTCAAACACATTCGAATTTCCAATTTAAAAAATTTATAAAGACATGTAAAAATTCGTAAATACATTTGAAGACTCAAATTTCTCAGTTTCCAAATCTAAAAATTCAATATTCTGAACATTCATAATTTAACATACTTCCCAACTAAAAAATATCCATACTTTAAACTCATTAAATTTATTACATTAAGCTTATTTCGTTAATCTCAAAATTCCAAATCTAATCTGACAAGTTACTTTCGAAATCCCCAAATCCTCAAACTTTCAAACATAAACCTTTCCAGACAACCTACACAGTAACCGTATCCTAACCTCAAACTCTAACCTCTAAAAGCGATCTCGCCAGCATGATCATATCTGTCTGCCAGTGTATAGCACCAAATGCAAAGCAAACATATAGGCAGATAGACAGAGAGAGGTATAGAAAAGACTGGGATTGGGGTGAATAGAATAGAGAAAGCGAGAAAATGTGTCTTACCGGAAGTCTGAATTGACGGTGGTCCACAGTGTCCTGTGGTTACTTATCGTGGTGGTATTGAGTGCGGCAGTGGGAAGGAGGCCGAGTTACCGGTCCTCGGAGACACAGGCTCGCACTGCCACACAGTAACCGTTGGGACTACGCACGCTGGTTGTCGTTGATCGATGTATTGTTGTTTGGTGGTATTGGTTGGTCGGTCGATCGATTTTCCCCCACGATTCGTCGTCGATCGTGGTGTCAGGATGGTGACGATGGCCGGATGGCGTTTCGACCGAGCGAACCGAGCAATTTGATCGACCGTATTGGCATGTCAGAGGATTAGCCGGACGGTGCCGACCGAGAACGGAGATCAAGAAATATCAACAAAAAGAGACAAATTGCACAGAACACACTGGCATTGGCGATGGCAAAAAACAGAATTGTTTTTTTTAACAGGTGGCAAAACAGAGAACACTCTTCGGGTATATAAATATAGAACAGTTAGCGCAGTTAGCTCGAACGAAGAGAGCCGGGCTCCTTTTGGATAAACATGGCGTCGGAGACTCACACAATGGCGTGAATTAGGCAGACACGAAAGAACACCGGAAGCTGGAGAGAAGGAACCAAGGACTCGACAGGCTCTTGGCGATCCTTCTCCGTTAAACGACTTTTGTGACGATCGTTTCGTTACTTTCTTTCGGACCTGATGGGAGCTCGGCCAAAATGATTGTCGGGTCGTTGGTGGTCTCAAACCGGCACAGGCGACAGGCAACAGCGGCGCAACAGAGCGATCGCACAGAGATGAGCACAGAGCACAGATCATTGCGACGCGTGAACTTTTTGAAAATGCCAGCTTCACCGATGAACAGAATATAGACAGACAGACAGAGACAGGATGACACGATTTTTGCGATACGTGGAAAACGTTTACCCCTCCCAACAACGTCCAAGTTTTATAGATCCTTTAACAAGCACGACGGTGCTTGTTACCTTTGGGTTATCGATCCCGTGCGATTGAGCAAACGAAAGAGATAAGCTCTGTCTGGTAAGAATTCTGTGAGAGATTTTGCCGATGATTGCCACATGTTGGATGATCGAACGTTGCATCGACGTGGACACGTGCGAACTTAAGACAAAAATTGAAGCAAATTAATGGATGAGACCGATCGATCATATTAGAGTGTGTGGTTTAAATTCTATCCGACTTTCGGTTTTTTTTTGGACTCCCTTCCAGGCCGATCCGTTTCCGGTTATCGAAATTCTACGAGGGTTGACTTGGACCTTGGACAATCTGGATATAACGTACTTGTTCGCTCGGTCAAATCGCGCGAGATTTTTGATGAAACGTGATATCACACGAAGACACACGGGTAAAGAAGTAGAAACCGGACGTGTGAAGTGCAAAAGATTGAGAGAAAGAAAAATAGAAACATGGTGTCGCAGAGGAAACACGCACAAGTGTAAGATAATAAAGGTGAATGATGGCGTAGGAAAATGCACATAAATGTACACAAATGATTACGGACCTACACGTATGTGGTTCAATTTTCTGTTCCATTAATCAGGAATAATTACTGGAAGAATGTATGCAATTGTAATTGGATTTCGAGCAGAAAATGAGAAAATACCTAAACGAATAATTACAAATTTACACACCCTATTTTGAAGTAATAACTCTTTTAATATAACTTTTAAATAAATATTTAATCCTTGGTAGCACAAATTCAGGTCTCGTTCAGGGATTTAAGTACTTAGCAAAGTGGGTTATGCAGAAATCAGAGGAAAATGTAATTAGCGATTTTATAATTTCCATTTTTTAATTAATGCTGAACTTCCATCAAAATTATGTCAAATACGTGTACAGAAAATGTAATTACGATATATAATTTGAAACTAGTAATTAAGGTCTTTAATTACTTTTTTTATTTTTGACTGATATGAATTTTATTTAGGTCAGTATATAAAAAAGAATGCAAATGTGTTATTTTCCTGTAAATCTCTACTTTGAGAAATTTTATGCAACATTAATCACTTGGTTACAAATCATATTTAAGAATTAAGTACTTAGTAGAAGGTAGTTTCAAAATAATTAATTTATGTAAATCTATAATCCTTGTAAGCCTATTGGCTTACAAGCCCCATTTAGGGATTTCGTACTTAACAGAATAGGTAATACAAAAATTAGAGAGAATGTGTAATTATAATTTCCATTATGATTGATCTATAATACAATACGATCTGTAATTCCATATATTACATTCACGTCAAATTTCAAATTTTTAACAGATTTATATAAAAGCACTCATTGAATTAACCATCAATTAATTATAGATCAAAAATGATAAGATGGTTTGTAATTCTTAATTTTATGAGAAGCTTCTATCAAATCAACATATTTTTCGTTTAAGATTTTTTATTCCCTTTTTAGATTTAAACAATATTTTGCAAAAATATTAATCTTTCATTTGTTACAAATGAACAATTGTGATTACAATTTGTCAAATATTAATCTTGTTCAAAAATAGTTAAAATCACCTGGTGTCTTAAAATAACCATCAAAACTATAACAGAGAAATTGTGTTAATTTTGAATTAAAAGATAAAACTTCATATGTCCTCTATAAATAACTTCTGTCAAAAGCGATTTCTATCGTCCAAAATTACAGCAAATTATCTGCCAGTGGTTTGAACCTGTAAATGGATTTCAATTATCTCATTCGTCGCTGTAAATCTCGTTGCATTCACCTTTGCCACATCCATCATGTCAGTCCACAAAGGGCCACAATCTCGCAACACACGAAATCGTAATTCATCGACAAAAGCGTCCTCAATTTTCCCGAATCGATTAACAATGTCGCCTTTGAAATACAAATGATCATACATGTAAGTCCGTGCACAGAACATTTATTCGCATGCGTACGATACGCACGACGTTGGTCGACGAGGAAGATTCGATCTGCTGATCGGCTGGACGAAGATGGATCGAGCAACGATCCAACGATTGAGAACGGTGGTGGTGATAAAATAAGAGAGAAAGAGAAGAGAATATAGAGATACAGAGCGTGAAAGACAGACAGACAGACAGATTGACAGACAGGCAAACAATTGCACGGATGGATGAACGAATTGACGAACGAACGAGCGAATGATTATAGGCGAGAAATGATGGCCAGAAAAAGCAACGTAACCATACTCACGGCTTTCGCGCCTTTTGTCTCCAGAAAGACTCATCGTCCTGCCTAGTTCCCTTTTCGCCGCTTTCAACGATCGTAGACCCTCCAGTATCTCTTCTGGGTCCCTCATTGGTCGAGTAAACGAGCTACGTCGACGATCTCGGTTGTAATGCACTATGGCCGGCATGTCGGCTTCTCCCATGCTTCCTCCTGTGAAATTAAATGTCCATGTGACCCTGAAGAACCTCTATGTCTGACTTGTGAGAGGGCTAAGGTATTTTCAAATTTAAGACTTGATACGTGGACTTTTAAATTAAATACTGATTTAGTTGACCTAACTGCTGCTGAACATAATCGTGATAGTTGACCTGGTACAGTAAACGTAATAAACCTAGTTAACCTAGTAAACCTAGCAAGCTGTAAATTCAGAAACACAAGATTAGGTGCTGGAATTATTCCAAGTATGCTGAAGTATGAATGTGTCTATGTTGCAAGTATGTTACCTAAAAATACAAAGTTTCATTAATTTATGCAGTTCCTATATCAACACAGGTTACATTAACATAGGTGTACAAAAAAGTATCAACTTCAGCAAGAAATGTAGACTAATGAATTAGGTAATTGATAACGAACGAGGTTTTACAAGTTAGTGACTTAAATTTCTGCAAAAGTGAAGTACTAGCTGAAGATAATAATGTATCATGTGATCCCATAATGACATAGGAAAAATTATGAGAAAGGTAGTATAAACAAATTACTTTGAAAATTTCAAATTCGAAATTAGACAAAACAGACTTATACAATCATCTGAATATTGCAGACAGTTAAAAAGAAATACAATGCCAAAGTCACTTTTTTATTACAAGTATTTTGATCAAAGAAATTATTTTCACCACAAAGTTTGCAGAAAGATGAAAACTTACGTTTGCTATCGGTACCACCCTGACTCTGAAAGCTACTTCGTCGGCTACCAGGCAAGGATCTACTGTAATCTCTGTTGAGTTCATACGGTTCGACTTCTAGCTGTTCAGATTGACTGGAACCTCTCCTTGAATTTGCATGCCAAGCGTGATCCGGATGCAGAAAGCCGAGTTCCGGACTTCCGCTGTCGCTTTGCGTATCATCGCTATAACTTCTTTCGCGTAGTTCCGTCTTCCGTAAGAATCTTTGGGCAATCTCCATGGAAAGAGACCCGCGAGGTGAACAATATGGTGATTTGCTTGCTCGCAGTCCGCGAGGATCTTCCAGTCGATACCTGTGGAAATATTCTTATTTGTGAAGAATTTTTTTGCTGATAGTTTTATAACTGATTTGTGGTTTTACAAATATTTTTATGGGTAAAAATTATTTTATAGTTTTATGGTTCAATTATGTAGCATTTAATAGTTTTATGGTTCAATAAAATAGTATTTAATAGTTTTCTAGTTTATCTACTAATTTTTAATATTTAATAGTTTAATAGTGTATCTAGTAATTTTTAGTATTTTATAGTTTAATAGTGTAATAGCTACTAGTTTTATAACTAGTTTGTATGTATTTTTACTGTTAAAAATTATTTTATAGCTTTATGGTGTAATAGTATAGCATTTAATAGTTTTCTAGTTTAATATCTACTAATTTTTAGTATTTAATTACTAATTAGTTTAATAGTACAATCTACTAGTTTTATATCTGCTTCATAACTAATTCCACATTTTATTTCAGAATCAACTATCAAATATTCAAAATTAATTATTACAGATATTGGAAAAGATTATTAATTTGATTGGTTTTCATTTTAATACATAGGGTGTCCATTTTACCTGAACACATTCAAGTATCTCAAAAAATTTGAATGACACACAAAACTGCCTGCATATTTATTTAATTTATTTAATTGTAATTATTTAATTACATGACGTAGGGGGAGACATACTACTCTCTTACCTGCTTGACCTTGCGATGACCTTAAAATTACCTTGATAGTCATATTAAAAAATCAAGTCAATTTACATATACTTTTTTGCACGAATTAAATCTTCAGATCATTCTATGCTAAACTCAAGATCAAGTTCATGAAATAAAAATTCTGAATTATCGAATATTTCATAAAATTCGAAACGTTCGAATGACTTCTTCATGTCTTTAAAATGTCATTTTATCCTAATACTTTTTTATCAAAAATGTTCCAAAAAATTAATCTCTGTTCCAAAGAATCGAGAGAGCAATATATCTTTTTCTCTGACAGAATTTTTATTGTTTTCAGTTCACGTATGATTCTAAAAAATAGACGTGAAAATGGCAAGAAAATGGGAAGAAAAGGAGCAGTCAGACTGGTATCTGACGTCATTTCCCACAGGATTTATCCCCTACCCATTCTGGGTAACGGCATTTAATTGGATTTGCGCTTAGAACACTTCCACTTTTCCGAAACGTGTCGTTAACATACTATAGCAACACTTACCAAACTGCCCTGTCGTTTTCGAGAGCTCGTTGCACGTCGACGGTGCATTCACCAAGAAAAACGTTATCACCGTCGGGACAGAAATCCCAGAGAGTCACTTCGATCGATCGTTCCGTTAAACTCTCCCCGTCGACCCCGGAGAAGAGCAATGTTGCATTCCAAATTGGTTTTTGAGATGGCTCGGCCACCACCGTTTTCAAAGTAGTTTGATTAGCGCTGAAATGCACGTGAAATACTCGAACATTTGAAAGAGATAATTGTCATTTGGAATATCATTCAATTAAATTACCATTATTAGTTAATAAGTGAAATCAAAATAGGACGTTTCACCATCTCAGTCGATAACAATTAAGAACTTAATCGATAATAACGAATCTACAAGAGGAATTTCCTAACCTAACCTAACAACTCTTAATTTGGAACAGAAAACGTATCTGAAGGAACGAAGAATTGTTAAATTATTGTGTCACTAAGAATTTACAAAATTTGCAAATATTAGTGTTAAAGTGTACTCGACTACCACTGACTAAACTAACATAACATCTACTAATGTAATGGTTACATTGATTAGAATATCCTGATGCCATCACAACTGTTGTATTTATTAACATAAATTATAATGTACGAATACTTTTGTCTTCCACTATACAGGGTGGCTCACCACATTTTGCCATCTAGATTTGCGTCATTATTATTACTCATGGCAAACAATGTTTTAGATGAAGTTGAATGGTTTTGAGGGAAACGTATGCTGGTGGTATATTTTTTTGTAGGTGGACGTGTTAAGGACATATGGAAGGTCATTAATATTTTTTTAAATGGAATCATATATTTTTTATTGCATCAGCTGATACTCCTTCATATTCTTTACAAAAAAGTATTAATCTATTCATGTGAAAAAATCATTAGTTTAGGAGATAGTTTAATTTTAATGTTTATTTACAGAATAGGTTCAATGTGGCGACCATTTGCATCAGAACACTTTCTGCATCGAGAAATTAATGACTTACTAACATTCCGTAGTGTATAATCTTTCTGCATGTGTAGCACTGTTCCCAGCTTCAAAATAAACTGATAACATGTCTATCTTTTCTTCTTTAGAATACTTCATTATGAAGTGATAATTCACCGTATCGTCGTATTCATCGTATTAGAGACGTAACAAAGACAAAATTTCACTGTTACTGCGTAACAAAAAAAATAACAAAAGCTCACAATTCGTTTAGTGACACGTGACCTCTCAAAGCATGTAGAAAAACATTTGCTGTTCAGTTAGGACAATTCATAATATTGACCAGAAAGTCACGATTTCCTAACAAGTTAGAATTAAAATATCTCCTAAACTAATGATTTTTTCACATGAATAGATTAATACTTTTTTGTAAAGAATATGAAGGAGTATCAGCTGATGCAATAAAAAATATATGATTCCATTTAAAGAAACATTAATGACCTTCATATGTCCTTTACACGTCCACCTACAAAAAAAAATATACCACCAGCATATGTCCTCCTCAAAACCATTCAACTTCATCTAAAACATTGTTTACTATGAGTAATAATAATAACACAAATTTAGATGGCAAAATGTGGTGAGCCACCCTGTATATTGAAGTCTAATCTCACTGTAATATTGTACGACCTAACAACGTCGATTATCGAAATACATACCAGATGGGAAGAAGGACCAATTTGGCATAAGCTTCCGGCAGAGTACCATATCCCGTGTCCTCCCTCGCGCACAAATCGTCGGCCATAAAGACGGAAACGATCAATTCTTTACGATCCGCTTCGTACGATACTTGAATCTGTACTCGGCTAGTCACTTGCTTCTCCTTCGCAATTTGTTCCTAGAATAGACGAGAGACAGCTTCAGTTTCCCCATTCTGTCGAGTCAGCTGTCGATTCAGGAAACAAAACAAAATCGCAGAGTCTACGGATGAACAGAGACGTGATCTACATGATGATGATCCGAGGAGAGAATCGACAAAACATTGAAACACGTCTGTGTCTCACACGTGAACTCTTAAATACAAGGGTGGTCGATTGAAAACGGAGTCATTCCATCATGCAAAAGCTCTGTGAAAGGATTATCGACACGACAAAACAAACTACTTAGTTGTGGACTTTCCTGGGTGCTTTTGGTCGATAATGCTACCGAAGGGTGAGCTATCAGTGATGGACAACTTATAATCATTTTAACATCGCACAATCACAATTTTTATAATCTTTTTACGTATTGATATTTGTTGGATTCTTATTGGAAATATAATGCATCATATTGTTATATGTGCATACACATGTCATATATGCATGTAACAATTGGAAGTCTCATTTTGTTATAAATTTCTTAAAAATTGTTTTACGATATTTTCTCCCTCGTGAAATTTTGTTCCATCACAAAAATTTGTCATGCAAAAAAAAGATTTTATACTAACTTTTAAGTGTCAGAATATCTCATCATAGCGATAGCAAATAATTGACAGTCCCAATTTTGTCACATAAAACTCACATAATAACACAACTGAAAATGTGAAAAATAAAGACAGTAAAATAGTCTGAAATAATACCAAAATTTTATTAATAACATCAAGTATTATATTACAAAACTTCCTCTTAATATTTGAACACGTTGATTGTCACAACGAGTAAAGGGTATATAATTGTGATTATCAAGGGTAGTTTAATATGTTCGCGCCCATTTGGGTAAAGCTACTTTAACTGAGAGGTAGTAAAGTTCTTTAGGAGATCGTAAAAACCTTTAGGCGTGGAAGAACACGAAATTTGATGCTGAAGAGAGAAAGAACGTTGTGGAACGCAAGAACAGGACCGTATAAAGATATGTATCGTAGTGTAAATATGATCTTATCGACAAGGTGGATTTGCATGGTGAGTGGTGGAATGGGGTGTGAAAGGATGGGAATTTAGAAATTGGAAGATTTAGAAGTAGGAAATTTGTGAATTTTCAAATTGGAAAATATTGGGTTGAGAAATTTAGTGAAATCAAGTTTGGAAATTTGGGTATTTGCAAATATTAAGATTGGAAATTTAGATATTTGGAGATATCAAGTTTTGGAATTTGGAAGTTTGAAAACATCAAGTTGAGAAATTTTGTGGTTTCAAGTGTGGAAATGCAGATATTTGGTAATTTGAAAATTTAAAAATTTAAGAATGTAGAAATTTTTGAAAATTGAAAAATAAGATTGCGAAATTAAGAACTGGAAGATTGGGAATGTTGAGAACTTGAGAAATTAAAAGATTAGATAATTCGGAAGTTTAGAAATAGAGAAATTAGTAAATCAAGGATTTGGAAATTAGAAAATTAGGAAATTAGGAATTGGGAAATTGAGAAATAAAGAAATGGGGAAATTGGACAATTGGAAAATTGAAAAATTAAGAAATTGTAAATTGGGAAACTGGGAAATGGAAAATTAGGGAAATTGGGAAATTGGGAACTTGGGAAATATGGAAATTGAGGTATTGGGGAATTGAGGAATGTGGAAATTGAGGTATTGGGGAATTGAGAAATGAGGAAATTGTAAAATTGAGAAATTGGGAAGTTAGGAAATTGGAAAATTGGAAAATGGGGAAACAGGGAAATGAAGAAATTTAGAAATTTAGAAATTGACCAATTGGAAAATTGAGAAATTGGAAAATTGGAAAATTAGAAAATTAGAAAATTGGAAAATGGGAAATTGGAAATAAGAAAATTTGGAAATTTAGAAATTCAGAAACTTGATAATTAAGGAAATTAAGGATTGAATATGTTAATTAAAAAAGGTCAGAATTTTGAAGCATGAAGTATTAAGTATTCAAATTTCGAACTTTCTAATTTCTCAACTTTCCTAAACTCCAAATTTCCAAATTATTAAGCATAAAAATTTAATTTTGCAAAAATTAAAAAATTCATGAATAAACTCTAAACCTAACCTCAAATATCCAAACACAACCTTGATAATTTACAAATTTATAGTTTACAAAATATGTAAATACAAATGTGAATTTATAAATTAAGAAATATGTAAATTAGTATTTAAAATTTAAAATTTTTATGCACAGAAGCTCGACAATTTACGTATTCAGATATTTAGAAATATGTAAATGAGAAACATTTAAAATTTCTCTATCGACCGGAATTCTTAAAAAAGATTGCAGTATACGGTCCTGAGTGCTGGCATCATCAAAAGAGCGCTGCTTCCTAATGGTATAATTTACGACCTCTCCTTATCGCGGTTGACCTGCACCTGTTACCCCTCCACGAAACGTATTAAGCGTTTCACGCTCAACCTTGCGTGAAATTTTCTTTAATTCTTTTTCTTTCAGTTATTCAATTACGTAAAGTTCGTGATAGCAGTCCCGGGAGATTATAACACCACTCAACGCGTTAATATATAATTCATATTACAGCATACCGTGTTGCATAGATATAATTATACGAACTGTGGCAATCAACGTGTTAAACGAAATTAAAGTTTAATTATTCCGTCGAAAGTTGTAAATTCCTGTTAGTTTAATTCGGGAAATATCGAATTATGCTTGCACGGAGAGAAAATTACAAAAATAAATGACAATTTTATCAAACAATATTATAAATTTTTAAAAATAATTTCTAACTTTATATTCTTTGTACAGTTTTTGTAAATTTCATAACATGAAATGTATAATGTATAACATTGTTTTGTAAATTTTTATAAAATTGTTTTTGTAAATTTTGTTTAGAAGTTTAGAATATTTCTCAATTAGTAAATGATTTTTTAATAATGATTTTATAAATTGTAATGAAATGTCCATCACTGATTTGTACGATACAGCCAAGAAAAGGGTTTTAACATTAGTTTTATTATCGCAATAACCGCATGATGATTCGCATTCCCATGTTCTTTTCCTCTTCTGATCCACTGCTTCTTCGTCGAAGTCTTCGTTACTGCTTTGTTCTTCGCTTTCTTATATTTAGAGTATTGAATAGGAAGGGGAACAAAGAACGTCCATTTATCATTTTTATCCTGCACGTACCGTTTTTCCGGACTGTACGTACAGTATTACCTCTCTAAGTGGCGCAAAAATTCGGTTTACTTGTACTAATGTTAATCATTTCAGAAATAATTGGTAATAATTTGTAATTAATTAAATATGAGTATGTGGTTAATAAGAATTAACTAGTTTAAAATATAAATATATACTTAATAAGAAATATTGTTTTATTTTAAAGATAAATATGTAATTAATACTAACTATTGATGCATTGAAAACATGAATATATAATTGATAAGAAATTTTAATTAATTTAAAATATGAATATAATATTAGTAAAAATTAGTAATGTATTACAAGAATGAATATATAATTAATAAGAAATTTTTATTAATTAGAAATGTGTGTATAGCATCAATAAACATGTGTGAATATAATTAATAGTAATTTGTAATGTATCAAAAAGATGGAAATTAATTAACAAGAATTATTAATTCATTAAAAATATGAATATGCTGTTAATAAGAATCTATTAAAAGTAAAAATAATAACCATCATAATAGATTTAAAGAAATAGCTATTAAACACAGAATATAATTTACAGGTAAGAATATTTCTACATGAAGGAAACCTAGAACAGTATCTTTCTACATAAAAGATAGAAATAGAAAATAAATAATTTTGAAATAGAAATTGTCACAACAATTATCTGTATGATCTAGGAAATCAATAATAGTTAATAGGAAAAGGTAATGATTAGACTGCTGATGTTTATGCAAAGGCATAGTTTGATAGAAAGATGATAATCAAATAAAAAATATGTTTCATTCAAAGTTAAAATGTATTTAAAGTGTACGTGTGAGGTTGCAAGACATGCTGTATACAATTTCGTACGTTCATATGTTGTAAATAATATACACTACATATGTATTATTGTTACAGTTTATTATATTAAATAAGGAACAAACGATTCATTTCTCGTGTTTGTATCTCTCAATTTTTCACTAAATTAATTGAATATATAAAGTTTATTGTTCAATCAATTTAGTATTTAATTGATTTATTATTCAGTCGATTTAAAAATGGAGCTTCACACAAAATTTCAGTCGACATTTTTAATTTATTTTTTCATTGCAAAAATGGGGTTTGCAGCTTCGTTTTTTAATTATTAAGGAAAAACGTGGATCAATTAGAGCGCGAGGATTATTACGCGTTGGACTACTACGTGTCGAATATCCACGTGTTGGATTACTACGCGTTGGATATCCACATGCTGGGTTATTACGCATTAGGTTACCACGCATTAGATTCCTACGCTTAGAATTACCACGCGTTGCATTATTACGCGTTGGATTACTACGCGTAGAATATGCACGCGCTAGATTACTACGCGTTGGATATCCACATGCTGTATTAGTACGCGTTGGATTACTACGCATTGGATTACTACGCATAGGATTACCACGCGTTGCATTACCACACGTTGCATTACTACGCGTTGGATTACCACGCGTTGGATAACTACGCGTTATCCGAAGCTGTCGCTCTCGCGTCTGCGCACGCGTAATCCTCGCGCTCTGATTGGTTCGTGTTACGACAGCTACCCCCCATTTCAGAGACCTACACTAATTGTGAGACACCCTGTAACTGTGACTTAGACAAGTTTAATTAATTAAAATAGTAACAATAATACAAGTTTCTTCTACGATTCATGCCATACGGAAAACTTACAATGTTAGTCATAAAGATACCACAATTTATGTATAGTTATCTAAAAAGAAAATGAAGAAAGATAGATAGTAATTAACAACTAAGCATTAAATATATAAATATACTATATTGCAAAGTTTAGAATAAATATGTGAATGTGTAAGTAAGT